TTTGTGAAAGTGAGAGGACAGTTAGAACATCTTGCAGAAGAGGCAGGGTGGGACCCAATTTGGAGGGGAGTGAAAGGATGTCCTCCATCCGTCTCTTCCTTTTCTTTTCATCCCTCTTCCTTTCCTCCCAGACCCGACCAACACACTCACATCAGTCTGAGAGCTGCATGAAATACCCCTTCTGCAAACTAGTGGGGTCAAGCTTTATTGTCGGAAAATACATATTCATCAGGGCTTTCAGGCACTTCATTAAAATGCGAATGGTCTTTCATTTCAGAGTGGTACATATGCCAAGCTTTATTTGTCCAACATAATGTTCGTACAGCGATAATTTTATGATGAATTGCTGAATAAGTATTTTAGTTATTTGTTTAGCATAATTTGTGACCATCATGTTAGAATTAGAATCTGATCGTTTTTACAGGTAATTCAATCTCTCACATTTAAATTTCTGTACTTAAAGGAGCTCTCCGTGAACATCTGTATCATTTCTAACATCAAAAGTGATATTCCCTCTTTCTTTTGCTTTATTCCAGAAAGGCTTTAAATGCAATTTTCCAGGACAGCACTGAACTTTAGGTAAGAAATAAGAGGTAGCCTACATGAAGTGAGATGCTGCCTCTACTGTGTATGAGGCACCATCATTTCACTAGAGGGGTGCTGTGCTTCAGCTGACACTAGCCAACTGTATATTTGGGGAGGATTTTAACTTCTCAGGGCTTGTGTATTTGGAATTTAGTTGCATCTTGAGTAGAGAGGAGCCCTGTGTTCAGTCTGGCCTCGTGACCCTCTACCTTCCCTAACACAAGCAGGCCATCACTCCTCATGGCACTGTGCCTCTTCAGTTATTAATGTGTACAACCCCTACCTAAATTGTCTGTTTGTATTGAAAGTGGGTAAATTTTACCAACATGACTTTGCATTTTCATTATTAAGCCTGAACCGTATTACTAGTGTACTTCTAGAAGCCAGTTGTTAGGAAATATCACAAAGTGTCATGAAATCTAACTTTGCTCAAAAAGTGGATGAAGGTTGTCTGTGGGCTCTCTGCAGATCTGTGCTGCATGGCACTGACCTGTTGGCAGCCCATAGGAGCAGATTGATGGGGGTCTCTAGCCCGAGGGCTAGCCAGTTGCTTGGCACAGAGGAGACTACAGGAGATGGTTTCTGTATTGAAGGCGAATTGGCTGTCTTCTTCCTGGGATGAAGATGTGCAAGTTGGCTTGGTTAGAAGGTCCTTTTGGGAGAGTGGGAGAAGGGAAGTTTTGATACAATTGAGCAAGGCTTACCTCTGTTCCAGTGCTACTGGGAATATCTGTCAAGGACATCTCTAAAGTGCTAAAGAGCAAAGATGAGAGGCTAAAGAATAAAGTGTGCCTAAACTGAGATGTGATACTTTCAGTTGCTTCACACTATTTGAAAATTAGTGAATAAGGAAGACAGAAGAATTGATGCCTTTGAGCTGTGGTATTGGAGAAGAGTACAGAATATCCCATGGACTGTCAAAAGAACAGCAAATGTGTGTGGGAAGGATTACAGCCAGGTTGTTCCTTCGGTACAAGGATGGGGAAGCTTCATCAACTCCTTCTTGTCACAGTGCCTTGGATGGATTCTGTGGTTTTGGGGATGGCCATATTTCCAAGGGAGGAGGTGTAGAATGATTCACCACTATCCCCACACAAACTGTCTGAAGCTTCAGAGGCACTACATACTTTTTATTAGGTTTGAATTTAGGAGTAAGTGGGTAATTTTTGAAACTTTTTCCTGGCTGTCAGTTTAAAAACTTTGGATGAATTTACAAATTTGTACTCAACAAAAGGCCTTTTCCATTTTATTTTCTTTTTCTTCTTTATAAGAATGTTCTAGTCTTAAATATATATCTTAAATCTATCAACGAGCTTCAGCTTTGAAAACTCTGAAGAATTTCAGGAGCCCTGGAAAGGGTGTCAGTTTTTCTTGAGGTGACAGGAGAGCTAAGAAAATGGGGGTTACTTGGAGGGAATCAGCCTTACAGGGGACAGTGTGTCACTGTCTCAGGCCCAGCTTGTTTTTCCTCCAGGATCTGACTACTATTCCACTGCCTCCTTGGATCTCTTCTTGAAGGAAGTTGGGGTTGTCCTTGCTCTGTGGACACCATAGTCCTGCTTCTGTCTCTGAGATACAGAATTACTATATGATTGGGGTGTTTTTTCTGAGTCCAAGAAAGGGCTGGCTAGAATTTTCATGTATCCTAAAATACTGTTCTCACTGTGCTCCATCAAATGAAAACTGACTCATAGTGGACTCTGCAGTTGGTTTTCAGAGGCTGTAAATTACAAGGAGGAGATTGTTCATCTTTCTCCCAGAAAGCAGCTGGTGGATTTGAACCATTTATCTTTGAGTTAGTAGCACAACTTCTTATTAGAGTATCAAAATCAGTTGCAGGAAACAAGATGCTGTGCTCTGTTCCTGTTTGCTTTCATGCATTTATAGTGCAGTGTTGTTGCTGTATACATTCAAGTAAGAACCAGCCCATACCTGACCCTCCAGTGGGTTTTCAGGGGTAGTAAATTCTATGAAAAGAGATTGCCTATCCTTCTCCCACAGAGCCTCTGGAGATTTGAACCAAGGCTTTGGGATTGCAGTGTAGCTTCTTGCCACCAGGCCACCAGAGCACCCCATAGTATTATAGAATAAGACTATCATTTAAGTGAATAGGCACATTACTGCTATCTACAACTCCTCTAGATGGAAGCATATTCCACCTTTAAGAGAAAAGTGGAAATGAGATGGAAATATTTTGCTAGCGTAGAGCTTTGTGAGATTTGTGAGACACTTGTGTGGTGTAGACTGTAACATGCTGGGCTGCTAAGGGAAAAGGTGGCACTTTGAATCCACTAGACATTCCATGGGAGAAAGCTGCGAAGTCTACTTCCATAAAAGTTTACAGTCATGGAAATGAGATAGAGGTTTGCTGTAGTCAAAAAGTGATCAATAGCAATGAGCTTGGTTTTGGAATTATTGTGCAAATTTAGACTATTAATGCAAATAACTTCTTGATATTTTTAAGTTGGATTGTTGTTTTTGTTATTATGTGCCTTCGAGTCGTTTGTGACTCATAGCGACCCTATGCACAACAGC